CAGGACTCTTTGGTCAACCTGAGAGCAAAGTAATATTCCGTCGTATCTTCAGCAGCCAATTCCTTATAGAGTTGGTAGCTTGCGACATAAATAGGTCTTCTATTAATCCTTTTTCGAACCCATACTTTTCTTGGTCTTGGCAAGTTCAGCTTGTAAAACTTCTTCGGTTCCAGATGGCACCGCGTTTAATACTTCTTTCAATACTTCTTCCAATTGCAAGCGCGCTTCTCGATGTTCGTCCAAACTTGCTGATCGACTGACAGCTGTCGACAACTAAATTTACTTAACAGAGCCACTAAACAATAATTGGACACTACTTGCACTAAACACCTGCACTTATCATCCTCAATTACTAATCACTTGCACTCGCACTAATCAAAGCGAATACAGGCCTTCAGTATATACCAACATAAGAAGCATTTTGCTATGCTACCCCATAGAGACTGTACGCTTTTCCGGTACGTCTATACTAATATATATATATAATATTGTAAAGAGGAAAGGTTTGATTTTTTGTTAGTTTGAAATGAATAGGCTCCGAAACTACTGGACCGATTTCAAAAATTCTTTCACCTTTGGCAAGCTAAACTATTCCCGAGTGACATAGGCTATGTTTCATTTTCAAAAAAATTAGGGATGCTTACTAAAACTTGAATAATCTAACCCAAGGTGTAAAAAAATAAACAAAAAACTTCCTTCTATCGTGTGCGCTGCGAAAACTATTAATGATAGAACAAAAGGATGTATTAAAAATTTTCAGGACACAACACTATCTATAAAAAATGTCGCGACAGCATGTCTCTATCTTTTATAGTTACGTCACAATAAGCGTCCTTTTATTAATTTTTTTTATTAAAATACCACCGCTAGAAAAGGCTCTTTATTCGTACCTAGGTATCAATACCTTATCAAAATAATTACCAACGTTTCACATAAGCTACAATTTAATGGCATAACCACCAAAAAAGCATGGTGGATTGGTGTTCTCCTGCATTTTCTCTTAAATAGTTTACTAATATGTAATATAACAAAAATCTTAGCCACAGCAACGCTTGGCCGAGTCTACTAGTACTAAATAAAGCTATTTTTTTTTAATTTTTCACTCAATAAAAGGCTTCCTTGGAGTTCAAGGAATAAAAAAATTCAATCGAATTGGTCCAGCCGTCTTTGATTGTTTAAATGTAAATGTTTGAACATTTTTGTATATTATGTATTTCATCTTTGGCTTTATCTTAGTATAATTGGTTTTTTTTATACATATAACTAGCTGACCCGGCAAACGTTGTATTGCCATGTATATTATTTCTAGGAAACATTTATTTTAATTCAATAAAAATAACTATCTACTATAATAAAAATAGGGGTTGACCGTAGAGGGGTAAAAAAAAATATTTTTTTGAAGTTATACTTCTTTAGGCGCGTTATGAAAAATTGATGAGAGTGAAATTTTACGATGCGTGCGCACCTGTGACACAAAATTGTCAGTGTGATTATAGCGTGCGCGAGCGAGATAGGAATTAGAGAATCTACAAGTAAAAAGAAATAGAATATGCGTGAAGTTCGAAGATCGCAAATTTTGAATGACCATAATGACATTCGTCATTTACCTTTTTTTCAAATGTAAACTGAACTTTATTGACTATAATGACTCCTTTTCCAGTCTTTGATTATTTAATTGTAATTAATTATTTGCATGCAATCAAAAACTATTTTTAATAATGCCAAAGAAGTATAACTTCTTACGCGCGTACATAAGTACACGCACCCTTTTTTTAGGTTGGATACCTCTTAGGGGGCGTCCATAAATTACGTGAGGTTTTTAAGGGGGGAGGGGTCGAGTCAAATTTCATTTCATCTTACGTTAGAGAGAGGGGGGGGGTCTCGGCAAATATCACGCAATTTTTTCAGAAAATTTAATAAACACCTCACATAATTTATGGACGCCCCCTTATCACTTAGGGGGTTGAAAAATAGATAGTAGCCGATTCTTAGACTTGCTGAATATGCATAAAAAAATTCATAAGAATCGGTCGAGTCGTTTCGGAGGAGTGTGGGAACGAACATCGTGACACGAGAGTTTTATATATTAGATTTAAGTTAGCTGTAGGATTACAAAATAAATATGAAAATTATGCACTTTGACAGGAGTCATTGATAATTCTCGTTTCTGAGTCTCAAAAGAGAAAAAAGTATTTATAGATTTGTCATTTAACAATATTTATTGTGTAATTATCGCGTGTCGGCGGAAATTTGTGATACTATTATGTAGATACGATAATGAATCATTAGATTGGTGTATGTCATGAGAGAAAGCGGTATATATGTCACAGTAAAATTGTAAACACCGTTAGATTGTAATCTATCTCGCGAGATTGTGAACTGTCGAAAGATTGTGAACCTCTGTGAAGAATTTAACGTATTATTATTCGGTAATCTATCGAATTGAAGCCGTCAAATTGTGAAACGGATCGCATCTCGCGCGCTGATTGGTTGAACGGAATGTGCCCCGCGCCACCATATTTGTTTGTTAATTCCTTTGTTGTCGAATGTAAATTGATTGTTTTGTAGGAAATGATGATCGAGTAAATTTTTATTATTGCTTTGATTAATAATTGAGAGTACTTTTTTGAGAGCTTTGCTTACTTTTGATGACAAGAGGAGAGGGGGGGAGGGGGTTTGGGGGTGTGAATTGCAGTAAATATGCTTATGTAATATTTGAACGGCCGCTTACTTTTAAGAATAATTTAATTTGGAATCATTGTACGTAATGAATATTGTTACGACCAGAGCCGAAGAAATGCCTCGAGTGGGTGGGGTCGAGCGCGCCATCTTGACCTTGGACAGTGGGTTTAGGGAACACAGGGTAGTACTGATACCAAAAAACACCACCAACCAACAAGTCACCTCTAATTTTCACCGAATTTCGTTTTCATTCAATCATAGCGAGTATTATGGAGCCAAAATTAAACGAATTTTCACAAAAGTCAAAAATCATTTATTCATTTAGGTAACACAATGTACACTTATGAACGTCAAAAAAGAAATAAATGCTTCTAATTTTACATTCACTGCCAGTTCTCAAATCAAGGGTGTAGAACGGAAGAGAAGAACTGGTAATAAACTTTCCGCCACTCTATTTAATCGCCAAGATTTTTGTTTTACACAACGTTTGTAAGGAGCTGCAACCATTACACCATGTTCCACATGACATCTTAAATTAAATAAATTAAATTTTACACACCGATTGACCGAGAGCTGTTACTAGCGATTTTATACGATTGTTTCACAAGTGACATGAGCGAGCGAAGGGAGCACTGCGGGTGAAATCATGAAGTATGCTATCTTAACGGCTTAATAATTGGACTGTAGCCAAATGAAACTACTTTATACCTTTTCAATTGCACTGTATATTAAATTGTGTTATTGCATGTGATCGCCTTTGACTTGACCCCATACACCGCCCACATTTTCCTCCGAATGCCTCGCTATACGAGATAAGACTCAAATTCCCTTGACAAGACACAAGGACGAGCTTTGAGGTCGCTGTGTTCCGATGAATTCATTATCGGAAATATTTTGTAGAAAGATTTGTTGCTTTAAAACTTTGGTATATAAGCGCTGTGTGAGAAAACATGGTCTGATAGCTCTGGAAACTAGATTTAAGATTGAATTTCTAGAATATGAATTATTTTTAATTTGATTTTATTTACTACTAGCTGACCCGGCAAACGTTTGTTTTGCCATATATATTATTTATAATAAAAATAGGTGTTGATCGTAGAGGGGTGACAATTAGGGGTTGTATGTATTTTTGTTTGTTGTATCATAAATAAATTAAAATTAAAAAATTGTTTTAATAAATAAAAAATAACATTTTGGGGTGGACACCCCTTCCTTATCACTTAGGGGTTTGAAAGATAGATAGTAGCCGATTCTCAGACTTACTGAATATGCATAAAAAAATTCATAAGATTCGTCGAGCCGTTTCGAAGTATGGGAAGTGGGAACGAACATTGTGACGCGAAAATTTTATATATACTTTTACAGAAAACTTCACTACTTACACTGCTAACTTTTACTAATATTATTGAAGTTATACTTCTTTTGGCGCGTTAGGGAAAAATGATGAGAGTAAATTTTTACGATGCGCGCGCGCACCGTCTCAAAAAACCGACACCCTGAGGGTTAGCTATAGTCAACATTTTAGTTTTTTCTATTGTTAATGTCGTTTTCTCTACAAACGTAGAATAAAAATTTTGAAAATATTTTTATCTTGTTACGCCAAAGAAGTATAACTTCTAACGCGTGTACCTACATAAGTGCACACACATGGTTTTTTTTCTACTAAGTATTATTATTATTACATTCTTACGTTCATGTTAAGATGCGTATCGTGCGTATTTGAGGCAGACTCGGGGCGAGGCAGCCGCTCGATCCGAGGCCGCACAAGTGGAGACGCTGCCTCAACTTGAGGCACGCCGCGCCATGAGGCAAATTCGTTGCCGCGAGCCGAGCCATATTTTGTCGGTTTTTTTGGCGCGCTCAAAGAAGCCTCAGTCCGAGCCGTGCACTTGGTGGAGACGGGCGTGTCGCCTCAGGTCGCAATGGACAACGAAACTGATATAACTCTTTTATCCACCATCGATGCTTCCTCTTTTGTATAGTTTTTTGTTGTATTCTCTTTTTTTTAAATAATGTTAATGACTATTAAAGCAGCGGCTACTCTACGCGCGTCTGGTGTCATCCCGTTCTTACTTTACACTAGTTTCGGATCTAGGCGAGGCGACATGCCTCACCTTGATCCGCAACGTGCCTCGGAGTGAGCAGCCTCGGTTTGCTTCAAGTCGAGGCTGCTCGGCCTGAGGCTGCTCTAATGGATACGCACCTTTACAACAGACATTATATATATGTTTCTTTTTTCAGACGCAAGCAGCGGTGATAGCATAATGTATCAAGGCGGGTGAGGCGCTGTCGCGTCGGCTCACGGCGCGTACGCAGACATGTCGTTCTTTAATAATCTTAAGAAGGTAATACCGATACATTTCCACAAAACTTATCAGGTTTCTTAGCAGAAGGGTAAGATTAAACTTGGACGTTCGTTGTTGGACCACTACGTGGAACCGGCTGCCCACTGATGTATTTCCGAACCAATTCGTCTTTGGGTCCTTCAAATAGCGTACCAATTCTTAAAAAGGCTGTAATGTACTTCCAAGCCTTCTGGCTTTGAGAGAGAGTCCATGGTGGTATCACCTAATATTAAATGAGCCCGTTTGCCCTCTGTACTAAAAAAACGACGGGTTGCACTCCGGGAGTGCCGGCAGAAGTGAAAACTTGAATATTAACGTTGTGCACTTTTGATATTTTGGTTAGGGAATAATTTTGCACGAATTGCTTTAATTATCAGTATAAAAGTACTATCATTTATGTGGTAGAATACAATATTTATTTATTGCGCTATCGTACACATACAACATGACAATTTATATTACATTAAATACGCCGCGCCAGCTGTCTACTCTCCATCCGTCGTCAGTCTGACCAAATCGTTAATAATAAAGCTTTAGACGTTTCGCAAAATTAAACCTTGATGTATTGACTTAAGGTCCAATTCCACATGCATCAATGTATCTGACGAAGAGACCAATTAATAAAAACCGTAACAATATAGCACGAAGGTTCATAATCCTTTAAAAAAACATCCGTATTACGAATTTGTCCTGACGCGAGTTTAACATTTTTTACCCATTCTAAAAAAGTGTACAACGCCGCTAAAGAAGTTTTCACTTCAAAAAAAAGTCTGGTTTCTATTGTTTGAGATATACATAGAAAGCTTTTTAGTATTTATTAAGCTATTGCATAGATTTTATCGCGGGCTTTGAGCGCGGCGACCGAATCAAGAAATTCTGAAAAACAGACAACGTCCGTCGGGTCCGCTCGTAATATATATTTATATATTTCAGGTGCTACACTTGGGCGGTGGAAATGACGCGAAAAAGAAAAGAGTGTTTAGCAATATCAAGGATAATAGTGATCCCAATGAACACTGGGACATGATTGGGGAGCTGGGTGATGGCGCCTTTGGAAAGGTATGTATTAACATACAAGTATTTACTTTCATTAATGTGTAAAGCATTCCTAGAAAAGCGGTGCCGCTAACTAACGGCCGCCATTTTACGGTTGTTAATAACGGCCGTCTTTACTTTTTACCATAATGCAAAAAAGCAATCATTTTCGCTCGTCCAAGTCACGTTACCACTCAGTGTAATAATTAAATAAGTGCACCCGCTACACGCGAAAAACGTTGAACTAATGTTTATCACCGCTATGACGGCCGTCATGCAAATGACAGCACCGCTATATGACGTTACGGTGACACTCGACGTTCTCTAGAAAACCTACTCCGATGTTATTTATAGACAACTTATGGGTGACGTCACCCAACGTTACATTACGGCCGTTAGATAACGGCACCGCTTTTCTAGGAAACCTAAGCTTAAAGGTTACTGCACAGTTAATGACTGAAGACAAAAACGCCTGGCAATAGTTTTAGTTATATTGTTATAATTTGTTTTGTCTTTGAAGTGTGGTGAATTTGTGTGTAATGGTGAATGTGGTAAATCACAGAACAGATTTTTTTACTTATGTAACTTTAAGACGTTGTGGTTTATGACATTTTCCTTTGAATAATTGTAATGTAAAGGGAGGGCAAACTTGCTGAGTCTCTTGCCCGTTCTTCTCAGAACAAGGCCTCCTGGTAGTTTTGCGAACGGATGGCGTAGTCTTGCTCTTTCGCGAATTTTGTAAACGTTTTTGACATTCATAAGCATAGCCAAAACTGAATAAACGTATTTTGATTGATTGATTGAAAGAAGACAATTATTTAATTTAATAAATGAGAAGATTAAAATATAGCACCGAATGAGCAGTGTTGGCCTAGTGACTTCAGCGTGCGACTCTCATCCCTCAGGTCGGAAGTCCAAACTCCGGCTGTGCACCAATGGACTGTCTGTGCCCATTTAATACTCGCTTGTACGGTGAAGGATAACATCGTGAGGAAACCGACTTTCCTTAGACCCAGAAAAGGCACTTTAATAATATTACCGTCACGAAGGTGTGCAGCGTTTTTGTGGAAGAAAAGGGAGAGAGCGATTGAGACCGATTGAGAGAGAGTGGGAAGGGCGAACGTAGCATGAAGCAAATAGCCATGGAACGAGAGTAGGGAGCAAGCAAGTGAGAAAGAACCAGAGAGAGTGAGATAGAGCGAATGTCGCATCACGCACAGTGCCATGGAGCGAGAGGTGGGAGAGAGCTATAGTGAACATAGGAAAACCTTTGATTGAGCTCTAGAGCCAGAGAAAATAAATTGGGAGCTCGATTTTTTTAAAAATAGACGCTATTGTTTTTGGTTTTTTTAAAATTTTTTTTTATGATAGTCTACGGTTTAGATATGTGTAAATATGTGGGAACATGTAACAACTTTTTAGATGGTAGTTTATTCTAAGTACATTGTTTCACAATATTATTAACAAATGTCTATGTGCAGTAAACGCAGATTTTTATTTATTAATATTACCATTTTTTTTTTTTTGGACGTTCAAAAGTGCCATTTTAGATGGGTCTAATTGAAATAAACGATGTGACTTTGACAGATTGAAGAGTGAGAAAGGAGTGAAAAAATCTATAGATAAACAAAGCTTTACATGGACCGCATAACGTCTTTGCAGTAATGCAGCTATTTAGTTATATTATCATTAGCACTATACAGTGGGGCTTTTACCTTAGTAATAATTCATTTACAAAGAAATTTCACTTCTAACATGTCGACTCGACGTCATTATTAAGGTCCCGAATGAGTTACGTTCTTGCGAATGTTCAAGGGCTTCTATTATTATAAATATTTATAATTTCCAGGTGTACAAAGCCCAGCATAAAACAACAGCCCAATTAGCCGCTGCCAAAATGTGTGTGTTGGACAATGAAGATGATTTAGCGGACTTTACAGTGGAGATTGACATTTTGACTGAATGCAGACACCCGAATGTGGTGGAACTGCATGAGGCGTACTTCATTGACAATAAGCTATGGGTAAGTGTGGATTTAACCCTTAACTTGGCAGCTTTTTTTTTTTTTAATATTAAAATAATATTCAAAGCACTTAACTTAACCAAGGTGTCTATAAAAAAAAGGGTGCGTGTACTTATGTACGCGCGTAAGAAGTTATACTTCTTTGGCATTATTGAAAATAGTTTTTGATTGCATGCAAATAATTAATTACATTTAATAAAACACTATTTTGACCGGATTGAAGTTATGTATTATTATAAATTTACAACTATTTAACATAATTTTAAATTTATCCGACGTTTCGCGTGCTTTACAGCGTGCGTGGTCACGGTGACAGCACGGTGATAGTTGTAAATTTATAATAATACATAACTTCAATCCGGTCAAAATAGTGTTTTATTAAATGAATAAAAGTTATGTTAATCAAAGACAATACTAATTAATTACAATTAAATAATCAAAGACTGGAAAAGGATTCATTATAGTCAATAAAGTTCAGTTTACATTTGAAAAATTAAATAAATAAATATTTATTATTATTCTCTTACATTAAGTGTAACATAAATTCTATTATGTTTCGAATGTTGTTTTTAAATTATGTCCAATGCCGTAGCATCTTCCGTGAGCAACTTCATTCTGTTAATTTTGTGTCACGGTGCGCGCGCATCGTAAAATTTCACTCTCACCAATTTTTAAACGCGCCTAAAGAAGTATAACTTCAAAAATACTTTAAAAAAAATTCATGGGGGTAGTTAAAAAAATCACATGTATCTTGTGGGATTAATTGCCAAATTATCTATGACTTGATTATATAATTATTTATATTAAAATAAATATAAAAACCACGTTAATAATCAGTAAGTTTGTACCATTTATTTAACGATTAAAAAACCCAGTGTAAACTCTTTATAACGAATTTCAAGGGACCGAGCACTGGAATGTTTTCCTTCGTACGAGCGAATGTTAAATGCGCACATAGAAAGTCCATTGGTGCACAGCCGGGGATCGAACCTACGACCGTCGATGGGAGTCGCACGCTGAAGCCACTAGGCCAACACTGCCCTTTTTTATGTTACAAGAGGCAAACGAGCAGGAGGCTCACCAGATGATACGTGATACCGCCGCCCATGGACACTCGCACTGCCAGAATGCTCGCAAGCGCGCTGCTGGCCTTTTTAAAATAATTATATATATTAACAATAAATAATGATTTTCGCAGATGCTGCTCGAATACTGCGATGGTGGCGCCCTCGACTCGGTGATGGCGGAATTGGAGAAAGGGCTCAATGAATCGCAGATAGCCTACGTTTGTCGCGAAATGTGTAAAGGACTGGAGTTCCTGCACTCCATGAAGGTTATTCACCGGGATTTGAAGGCTGGAAATGTACTCGCCACTATGACTGGTGGTGTTAAATTGGGTTAGTTTGTATTTAAAGACTTTGTGTGTGTGGACACAATGGTGTTCTGTCCATTATGAGAGAAGATAAATGTACAAAGAAAGTGACGGAATGGCTTCCTCGCCATGGGAGCGTTGGGTTACTTTTATAAAACGTTACGGGGCGGGGATTGAATTAAGCCGTTATTGTTAATATTATTTACTTTAACACTTTAATGGTAACTTTTAAGTATAAAGAGTCACTAGGTGGTCACGAAACGTTTTACTATCCTTGGGTACAGAAAAACGTTACGGCGCGTTACATGGGGGGTCAATTCTCCAAAAATTTCGTGACGTAATATTTGAACGCTTCCTTATTTATTTAACTGGTTCTGGGAACAGCTTTATTATTATAATTAATATTTTTTATAACCCTTTTCAGCGGATTTCGGCGTGTCGGCAAAGAATAAATCAACACTGCAGAAGCACGATACCTTCATCGGAACACCTTATTGGATGGCTCCTGAAGTTGTTCTCTGCGAGACGTTTAGGGACCATCCCTATGATTTTAAGGTGATTAGACTAAGACTTGACGACAGTGTAGTGTTGGCCTATACTATACTGACATTTCATAATAATTTCGTTGCTACTAAAAATGTTCTCCACTGAAAAAATATTTTACTCAAGTGATATAATACAAAAATAACAAATATTTCAATATCACGAACAATTATCTATTTAACTTTAATTACTTTATTTTATTCTTTAGCTGGCATCATTGCCTACTAATTCCAGGTTTAGTAAACCTTTAAAAAAAAAAATGTTATCTTGTGCGTGTAGTATTGTCTTTTATTGACATAACTTTTACACATAGAAAAACACTTTTTTACCGGATTGAAGTTATGTATTATTATAAATTTACAATTATTTAACATAATTTTAAATTTTTCCCGATGTTTCGCGAGCTTTACAGCGTGCGTGGTCACGGTGACTGAAGACAAAAGGTGTTGGATTTCAAAAAGTATCACTGCTGTAGAGAAAGTTGCATTATCTGTTTTTTTTCCTCCGGAGTTGGTATCGACTAAAAGATGGAGGGTTTTGGTAGGAATGGTCCAATCAAAAAACACCCTGATTTCAATAGAGAAGACGGCCTAAAATTGTCACCAATAGTATCCAAATTAAAATCTCAAGATAAACAATCCGCGAAAATAGAGGACACCGTGAGTCATTTCTGCCAAAATCCTCCTCTCATCTTTTAGTCGATACCAACTCCGGGGAAATAAATACAGATAATACAACCTTTTCTACAGCTGTGATACTTTTTGACAATCAACACCTTTTGTCTTCAGTCACCGTGACCACGCACGTTGTAAAGCACGCGAAACGTCAGAAAAATATAAAATTATATAAAATAATTGTAAATTTATAATACATAAATACATAATTTCAATCCGTTAAAAATTTTTTCCTTTATTTGTGCGTTTATTTCCTGTTTGTGATGAAATGCATTTCGTTTTCAACCATAGACAATGTGTAGGTATGTGTAAAAAAGTAAATAATTACTGTTGACCCAACCCCCCTCCCCCCATTTGTGCTTACGTAATACTTATATGTATAAAATATTTTTTAGGTGGATATCTGGTCGCTCGGTATAACATTGATCGAGTTCGCTCAAATAGAGCCCCCTAATCACGAGATGACTCCGATGCGGGTGCTCCTGAAGATACAGAAGAGTGACCCTCCGACACTTGAGCAGCCCTCGAGATGGACGAAGCATTTTAATGATTTTATATCCAAAGCGCTTGTGAAGGTATGTCATTTACTTTCCCCTATAATATCCAGAACTGAGCGTTTCTTAAGGCAGTGTTTGTACCAGCACTATGTGGAACCAGCTGCCCAAAGAAGTCAAAAAAAAAATTCAAAAATCATTTATTCACGTAGGTAACACAATGTACACTTGTGATTCGTCATTAAAGAAATAAATATTCATGCTTCTAATTTTACATTTAGTGCCAGTTCTCAAATCAAGGGCGTAGAACGGAAGAGAAGAACTGGCAAAAAACTCTCCGCCACTCTTTTTAATCGCCATGTTTTTTTTACACAATGTCTGTAAGGAGCTGCAACCATTACACCATGTTCCACATGACATCTTAAGTAATTAATAATAATAACATAAATTAAAAACAAAGACTTGTCCTCTATCATCAGCAGGAGGCATGGTGAAATAGGAGCACGCACTTTCTCTTCTTTCTCGTCTTTCCGAAGCAATTCGGTTTGGGTCCTTTCAGAGAGTGTACCAATTCTTAAAAGGCACTTGAGAGCCTTCTGGCAATGAGTGTGCATGGGCGGTGAGGATTTCCGAACTAATTCGACTTAGGTCCTTCAAAGAGCGTACCACTTCTTGAAAGGCCGGCTACGCACTCGCGAGCCGTCTGGCAATGAGTGTGCATGGGCAGTGGTATTTCCGAACGAATTCGACTTGGGTCCTTCAAAGGCGTACCAATTCTCAAGCCCACCCTCGCGAGCCGTCTGGCAATGAGTGTGCATGGGCGGTGAGGATTTCCGAACTAATTCGACTTAGGTCCTTCAAAGAGCGTACCACTTCTTGAAAGGCCGGCTACGCACTCGCGAGCCGTCTGGCAATGAGTGTGCATGGGCAGTGGGTATTTCCGAACGAATTCGACTTGGGTCCTTCAAAGAGCGTACCAATTCTCGAAAGGCCGGCGACGCACTCGTGAGTCCTCTGACGTTGAGTGTCCACTTAAGATCAAGTGTTAAGTGCCGCCCATATGCTTAACTTTTTATATATATTTTTATTAAATATTAAATCAATTAAAAATGGTGGCTATTTAATCTACTCCTTACAAGAAAGAGGGGATGGAATTCAGTTTTATGAGTAGGAGATTCAAGAACTATATATAATAATTTGTTTTTGTGCTTGTTTTTGCGTAATAAGAAAAATTTATTACGTAAAGTCTAGGAAATTTAATTGTCAGACGAAATTTGCTTCTTCCTAAACCTTAACTATATTTTCTCATTTCTTTCTCTTCATGCTTTTGCTTTCTCCTGCTTCTTCTTGTGTTGTGCTCCTCTTTTCTTGTGTTGTGCTCCTCTGATGTCTGTGTGTTTATTTTATTTTCATATTTTCTTTGTATATATATATATATATATATTATTGTCACGTATTTAAGTTAATTTAAGGTTATTTAAGTTTTTTTTTGACTTATTTTAAAGTACTAATTTTTATTTTTCATAAACCATGGAGTGTACATATGGAAAATTTGACCTGTGACCTATGTAAAAAAGTTTTATCAATCCGCTTCCCAATCCCCTTCAATTCCAACTTTCTTTTTCCCAGGCACACACCAACCACATAAAACTTCAAACTTTACTTTCGAATTTAAAAAAACTGTCCTTTCCATACCTCATCCCATCTCCTCGCCTCTTTATTTCTTTTCCAATCATAACAGAACAGTCAGACTCATGGAAAATATTGACTTTTCCTTATAGTTTCTTGCATGTACAGTCCATATACCTTTCGCTAACTCAAAAACTTAAAAACAATTGTAATGATCCCACATGTATAAATCCTTTTGATTCCGGCTATTAGAACCTTTCGAAAAAGACCAAAATGTGTCTCAAAAATAGTTGAACAAAATTAACGATGGAGTCTAGGGGCCGACTTCTTTTCTCAAATGATGTACTGGCCCTTACACCCCGGATACACTTCACTCTTACGTCAAAGCACCCCAGTCTCCAGACACACCTTTTTTTTGACCCTCCCACGACGTCCAGGCCTGCCTTCAAATTCAGCTACGGATGAAATTCTAAACGCTATAAATTCGTTTAAACCAGGATCAGCTCAGGCTTGATGGGCTGTCACCCCAACATCTTAAAGATTTAACTTCATTCAGTTTGGTGATACAGGTGCTAGGCTTTTAGAACTCTTTAAAAACTCTAAATAAAATGCTTTCGGGGAGATAAACCAAGCTATTGCTCCTATTTTATATGGGGCAAACTTGGTGGCTCTTACCAAAAAGATGGTGGGGTGAGGCCAATTCTGTAGGTAGCACTTTTCCAATTAACCTCAAAATTGCAGTAAAACATATTTAGTAATTGAACAAAATTTTTCCCCAACCTTGGCACTAAAGGTGGATTACTCTTACACGCTTTCCCCTTTTTCTACGAAAAATTTGATGTGTAGTTGAAAGTTGACGTCAAATCATTTAATTCAATCAGCAGGGACCCTTCTACTAAGTCTTTAACTTCCAAATTATACTATCTTTTACAGTGTTACTCAACCATCTTCATACAAGAGTTACGAACTCTTTCAAAGTTGGTTGTCAACAAGGTGATCCTCTTGGGCCGCTATTTTTAGTCTCCATAATTTTCATACAAAATTTAAAATCAAATTTTAACGTCTGGTATCTTGACGATGGTACTCTAGGAGGTAACGCAGATGTAGTACTTTCAGATCTATCTAAAATATATCCGATTTTGTTCAATGGGTCTAACTTTAAATTTTGATAAATGTGAAATATATCTCCATGTAGATATGACCCACCATACAATAAAAAAATTAATACCTTAGCCCCAAATATAAAAATAATAAATAAAAAATCGCTTACCTCCCATTTTCAAAGAAGGTTTTGAAGAATACATTAACTCACAATATCAAAATTTAATGATCTTTCTCACCGTTTCTGATATTACAACACTCAGCTTTGTTCATTTTAAAATTCTCCTTTTTATTCCCAAATTAACTACTACTTCGCTTAGCCCTCTTATTTCAGTTTTTTAAGTGATTTGGATAATCTTTTAAAAACTTCTTTGAATCTATTTTAAATGTTCGTTTTGATACACCTTCTTAATCAAGCATCGCTTCCTTTCGCTTTGGCGGATTAGGAGTACCAAGATAACAAGTGTAGCTCTTCCAGCGTTTCTCTCATCTCTCACAAATCTAGCAGTCTGGTAGGTAAAATCCTTAATATTATTCTACAAACTACAGATTGCGGATTTAACAATCAAGAAACCGTGGATACATCCAACCCAGGTTTGAGTTTGCCTTCTAGCGTCAACTTTCAAAAAGCTATATCCTCTTTGCAAATGTGAATTCAAAAAGTATTAGGTCACATTCCAATACAATCGTGCAAGGTTGATGGCTGTGGGGCTAAAGCTACATTGGCTTATCTTATCCTTCGCCAAACACTCACCCTTTTAGACCCTATCACTTCAATGCCATCAGCCTACCTAACCCATATGTACTCCCCATAAGTGTCCCTTGGTTTTGAAGTAAGTAGCCTTGGACACCATGGCCTACACTCCAAAGTGCAGGTCGTTTTTCTCGCCATGCCCCTAAACATTTACGCCGCTCTCTTGCCTCTGTCAATGTTCCAGCAATTTTGACCAACAGGCATCGCAAGAGACGATGGCAAGCCGGATGATGTCTTTGATCCCTTGGAAAATGGGACGGCTTTAGTATGGGATGCTACCTGTGTAGACACCTTTGCCCCGTCTCATCTCCTTCGGACAACAAAAAGCTCCGCCAAACAGCAGAAATTAACAAACGGCACAAATATAAGAGTCTTTCCTCCAACTTCAATTTTGTTCCCTTTGGAGTAGAGACTCTTGGGCCGTGGGTTCAAGTGCACAGGCGCTTATTAAAGATTTAAGTTGGCGCCTTAGATAGTACCGGTGACCACAGAGCCACTTTCCTGGCTCAAAAATAAGTCTCCAATACAGCGAGGAAATGCCATTAAGGTACACTCCACAGGGACCAAACTTTTTAAATTTGTTTTGATTTTCTTCTTTCTTTATTTTTATTATTACTTTATAGGTTAAGAACATTGTAAATACTGTATTTGTGTAAATAAAATTATGTAATAACATAATATATTATATTATGTCAAAAATCTTTATCTTATAGTTTTTTCTCTCCCGTATAGGTAAAGTGTAAAAAATATGTATGTAAAGTTTTTAAAAAATTGTAGGACCCAGAAAAGCGTCCAACATCAACGGACCTTCTGAAGCACGAGTTCGTCAGCGGAAATCTCGATTCGAAATCTCTGAGGGATCTCTTACTCGAGTACAGAGCTGAGGTGGTCGAAGAAGAGCTTTTGGATGATGATTCCGAGGTTAGTATATACTTAAAGCTCCCAATCACGCGTAGTTATTTAAATTTAACGATATGGAGAAATTTGACGAGAAAATATTGTGAAATTGCTAAAGTAAATTTATTAATAAATAAAATAAATTTGATTCGAAAATCATTTATTAGAAGTATTAAATTTATATTGTAAGTAAAAAGATATTTATAATTATTGTATTAAATATTTATACTAACAAGCACTTATATATAATCGCACGCTTACTAACGGACAGAGGAAGCGACGCGCGCGCCTAAACCGCGAGCAATATCAGAGGGTTGGTTAGTATGTGTATCGGCAGTGCTTTCAGATCAAAGTAAATTACAGTATATTCAAAAAGCAGTTCTTTTTGAAGTTATTCCGGCTCGAAGGACCAGATAGGGTAGATCAATTTTTTTGGGATTTAATTTTTAGTTTTTCGTTGAAATTCAGTATTTCTGCTGTAATTTCAAGGTCTGGAAGCAATGGTCTATGGTTTTACAGTCGTAATCTATACAAGAACTTTTGGTACTCGATTCTATCCTTGAAATTTTAAATCTCTATACTAGAGGAGTTATAAAACGTGGACTAAACATAGCGTCGTTTTTGTTACCATGAATACATTTTTATACATGGTAACCATGGCAACAGGGATTCCTTTTCCACGTTTTATAATAAAGCCTTGTTTACTATATGCCAAAAGGTTCTTGTAGAATTTATGTATTTTTAATAACACTTTAAAAACACCAGAACCAAATTACTCACAGGAAACTATTAATAAATACAATAATATAAAGAATTAGAGGGGGGAGGATAGAGAACATTTGAACACAGTTCGGTTCTAAATGGTTGACGGCGTGTCTATACTCTGATTTTTAATTCCGTAGAACTCTGACAGCTATCATTTTTTGTCATGTCAGAGATTACCAACCTTTTTCAATTTCAATACGAGTCTGAACATACATAAGTTTTATTTGTTAGTGAATGTATATATTTTATTAAGTGCGGGGCTCACATTAAAAGTGGTTTCAAGGCGACTGATAATTGCGTCCTTTTTCATCACAAAGAGGAAAAAACGCTCGAGTAAGATTTTTTTTACTACCTACCAATTCCAGGTTTAGTAAAAACCTGGAATTGGTAGGCACTGATGCCAGCTAAAGAATGGAATAGAATTCGCTCGAAAAAGGCAAAAAACACCTAATATTCTTAACTTCTTTGGCAAACTAATTTTTATGTCTTGTTCATATTTATATAAATCTAACACTTGAGATTTCCGAGATTTAGAGGGAGGGAAAAAGGAAGATATGTTAGGAATTTAATGAATTTAATTGTCATTAAAATATGAAGTGAAGTGCCGAAAATTAATATAGAAATTTTACCTAAAAATAAAATTTGTATTATGTTTCCTAAGACGTCCGAGGTCCATTATGAGAGTACATCGTTTCCTTTTCCGCCCAAATCGCTAGTATCCGACCTTTTCCCACCACGTGACACCGCCGCCAGCGCCCAGCGTTTGAAACTGGAACTAACTTTTTATCGCGCTAAAGCAAGCCGCCAGAGTTCTTGTTCATTGTTTGTCTCATAATAAGAGAACCAGGAAGAGCTTGTTTGGACCTCGGACGTCTTAGGAAACATAATACAAATTTTATTTTTAGGTAAAATTTCTATATTATGTGTTCCGTTTGACGTCCGAGGTCCATTATGAGAGACGTGTTTGTTATCTCCTGGTGGCTTGTAAAGTTATATATTAATAACTAAAAAACGCAACAATGTGATTTGAATTATTTATATCCGATAGAATCATGATGAAATAAACAATACAAGCTAATTAAAGCCTAAGCTTTAGCATCATTTAATAAACATAATAACAAAAATTTTATTGTTTATAATGAAGTAGAATACTTGGCTAATCATTAAGCGGCCGAAAGTACTGAGAAAGAGACTTCTGATGAGTCTCAGCATTCTGACTATTATTATCTAGATTTCGACAATAATATATCTTTAATGTACTTTCATGACGCATGAATTTAGCGAAGCAACAGCTGATCAAGTACCCCGAGATGCTTCGATACCTGATTCCAAAAGGGGTTTCTTGACCCAGCTCCCAAAAATTGTGGGCGTAGCTGGTCTTACAGGATATCTGGTTGTAATAAACAAATTTGTCAAGGAGCCTCATCTATTATTAGAGACAGTTATGAGTGTCCTAAGCCAAAATAAGGGATTTAGATGCTTCTCCGGGCACGATAAAAACGTCCAACTAGACTGTCTATACGTTCCTGTATCTGTTTTAAAACCGAAACCCGGATGCAAAGTGATGGAATCACCGTTATCAATAAAATGCTGAGGCTCGAAAAAGCAAGAGAGTCAAATCATGAACTCTATGCCCAGAAGCCAATAAAATTATTGTGGCTGTGTGTTTCGAGCTATGAAATAAATTTTGCTCATCTAGTTTTAGGCTTTTCAAATAATGTATAACTTTCCCCGCTTCCCATACTGGCAATTACTGCGCGATTGGTCTAGCTATAGATAGGATTGAGCTAGCGCTTTAAGGATATGTTTTACTAATTTATTAGATAAAATTTTAACATCGCTTAGAGCCTCACAAATTGATGCTATGTCAGATTTGTGTACTAAAATAGATATAGATCTATTTAGATAATAGATTTAGATATATAGCCAGATGATCCTTTATAAATAGGTTTGCTAAGTATCTAGCTACATCAGGAGGAGCCGGGAATCGACAGTTTATATTACTATGTTGACAGCAATTTACCCATTTATACCAAATAGGGGCATATGTTTTCCTTGTTGAAGCTCTCAAACACGACGAAATAAGTTGTTTTTCGTCTCGTGTTTTCCAGCCAAAATCAGCCACGCTCCAACTGTAATTTCTGCCCTTGAGGAGGAGGTTGACCCGTTACGGTATTTATCAGGGTTTTGTTTAGATTCCGTATTGGTAGCGAGGGTGCAAGTGCTCGGCCTTTCAAATCCGGGCGCCAAAAGGCTTCCTCCACCTGGGTGCTATTATTATGAACTTCCCTTGGGATAAGTTGAGATGGTGCAGCACTCGAGGTAGAGGCACTGGCGGTGGAAATATCCACGCTAGATCGTATCGCCAGCATTTACTGAAGGCGTGGTGAAGCAAGTGTTGGAGTCTAATAAGTCTAGCGACACATAACATGCCACGACAAGAGCCTCTCGTGACGCGAAAAGATCTATTTCGGGGGTTCCCCATCGTCTGAATATGTCCGTGGTTGCCTCTTTCAAGAGATGCCATTCGGTGCCCCTGCGATTGCGCGAGAGGTAATCGGCTTCCACGTTGTACATTCCCGGCAAGGAAGTGAGGGATAAGTACAATATTCAAACTGTCCGTCAGTGCCAGAAGATCTTTTGTCAATTTTAACAGCATTTGGGACCTTGTTCCTCCTTCGTTTTTTATGTACGATACAACAGTTTTGCTGTCGCTTTGCAGGATTACCATCGAGTTCTTTAGGACTTCGGATGTCAAAGAGATTGCTGCTACCACAGCGTGCATCTCCTTTAAATTGCAATGCCACTCAATCTGACTTTGAGTCCAAGAACCATTCAGGGGTTTGTTGTTGATTAGCGCTCCTCATTGTAGATCCGAGGCATCGGATACAATGTAATTCACATGCCTTGTTTTAAAGTGAATCGGTGTTTTGTGACTGAGGTTGTGCAAACACCATACCATGTCCTGATTCACCTCTGCAAGAGAACTCGGGCAAAGCGGAGCTCTCCTAAATGCATTGCTGTGTCGCTGCAGCGTTCGGCAACGCAACCTTCCCCGGTGGGTGCCCCGCCCCTGGGTTAAGGGGGTTTTGGGGGGTTTTTTTTTTTTTTTTTTGGGGTGGGGTTTTTTTTTTTTTTTTTTTTTCCCCTTTTTTCCAAAAAAATTTTTGGGTTGCTTTTTTTTTTTTTAAGGGGGGGGGGGGGGGGGGGGGGGGGGTTTTTTTTTTTTTTTGGGGGGGGGGGGGAATTTTTTTTGTTTGAAAAATTTTTTTTTTTTTTGGGGGGGGTTTTTTTTGGGTTTTTTTTTTTTTTTTTTTTTTTTTTTTTTTTTTTTTGGTCTTCCCCCTTTTTTTTTTTTTTTTTTGGGGTTTTTTTCCTTTCCCTTTTTCTTTTGGTAGGGGGGGGGGGGGGGGGGGGGGGGGGGGGGGGGGGGGGGGGGGGGGGTGGGTTTTTCCCCCCCCCCCCCCCCCCCCTTTTTTTTTTGGGGTTGGGGGGGGGGGGGGGGGTGTTGGGGGGGGGGGGTTTTTTTTTTTTTTTTTTTTTTTTTTTTTTTTTTTTTTTTTTTTTTTTTCTTTTTTTTTTTTTTTTTTTTTTTTTTTTTTTTTTTGGTTGGGGGGGGGGGGGGGGGGGGGGGGGGGGGGGGGGGAGAAGAGAAAATGGTATGTATTTCCAAGGAAATCGAAGTTGAAACAGGTGTTTGCAACTTTTTTAGGATTTAGGACAGTACTAATAGCGGTTTTCGATTGAAAGTTATTCGAGCGGAGGTTATTAATTTTAGAATGGAAAAAGGAGGTTTTAATTTCACCCAATTTTTGTGATAGTTCCTTGAACATCCGCCCGAAAAGCCCATCGAGTCACTTATGTTGGTATTTATTTGGATTGTTATATTTGCGTCCCCCTTTTGATGTGAAACATCTATAACCGCACGTAAAACCGATTTCTGGTGTGGCGACACATGCCGTGGCGATGCCACGCTATATGATGGTATATATACAGTCTATATGCAGTAGTGTGTACGGTGTATTTCGAAGTCACTGATTAAACGAATTAAGTAGTCACGTTTTGAAATAAATTCGTAAATTTTTGTATTTAAATGAAAATAAATGTTTATTCAATAAATAGTCATCCTTATTTTAACAAAATAATGTCGATGTTTCACATCTGCCAGGCGTCCCGTGACGGCTCACATTTTTATTTTCGTGATCATCGAAGTTGTGACTCTGTTGTCCTTGTTTTGAGTTTTATCGGTTACCAAGAAA